ATCGTCAATTTTCCAATCTGTTGGGATGCTTCCAGACTCTAAGAATTCTTGGAAGACTACCATCAGTGCATCCACTATCTCTGTAGCTATTTCTTTTAATCTCCTAGAATGCATCCCATCAGGTTCAAAAGGCAAGCAACCTCTCTGAGATAAAATTTACTCCCTTGCTGTTTTAAATGGGCAATGCCCTATTTTTAAACAGTGACTTCTAGTTCTTCATTACATGAAAACATCCTCCTCAAATCTACCCTCTCCAGACCCCTCTGATTTTATCTTCTACAAATGGGCCATGCCTTACCCTTCTAAACTACGGTGAATATAAACCTAGACATCCAACCTTTCCTCATATGACAAGCTGCCCTTTCCAGGTGATGGTCTGGTAAATGTTCTTCCTTTGAGAGAAATAATTTCTGTTTTAAATCTGCCACTCCTTATCCTAAAACTGTGACCTCTCATTCCACTTATCCCACATGTGAAACCTCCTCTCTACATCTACTTTGTCTATTCCCTTTAGGATCTCCTTCACCTTAATTAGATCTCCTCTCATTCTTCTAAACTCCAGAAAGTATAAGCATAATCAGTCTCTTCTTCAGAAGACAAACCCCCTCGTGAATCTCGTGACCCTCTCTGAACTGCCTCCAATATAACTACGTCCCTTCTCAAGTAAGAAGACCAATACTACGTGCAGTACTCCAGGTGTGGTCTCAGTAGTGCCTCGTATAGTTGCAGCGACACTTCATTTCTTTGATATTCTATTCCTTTAGCAATAAATACAAATTCTATTTGCCTTCCTTGTTGCCTCCCATATCTGCAAACTGGTTTTCTCTGATTCTTGCAAGAGGATACCCAGATCTTTCTGCAGCAAAGCTCTCTGAAGTTTCTCCCCATTTAGATAATAAGTTGCCCTTTTATTCTTCCTACCAAAATGGATAACCTCACATTTATCACATTAAACTTCTGCTAAATTTTGGCCATTCATCTAAGCTATCCATATCCATTTGTAAATTTCTTAATTATAGTTTCTCATATGTCCCTCAGACAGATATTAGGTTAACTGGCCCCAAGTTTTTTGCTTACTGTCCCCTGTGTTTCATAAATGATCACAACTATCTTGGGAAAGTGCACTTGAACTAGAGCCCCATTGCTCCTGTCACAAAAACTAAATGTTTGATGAAATTACTCAAAGTCCCCAATTTACTGACAAACTTAGTTTAATAGAATACATCACTAGGTTTCCGTACTGAATAAGTAATACTATTTATTACAAATAAATCAGTTATAATCGCAGGCAAATGAAATATAGTGTAACAACTTATCCTTCCTAACTTAAACTCTACCCCTTCTTAAACCCCTATACACAAATGGAGACAGACACAGACAAACGTAAGTACAGAGATTTTATGGGTGAACAAAGAACATGCAATAGAATCATCATTGTGCAGAAGTAGTCCATTAGGCCCATTAAGTCTGCACTGACCCCCCAAAGCACATCCCACTCAAACCTCTGTCCCCGTAACCCTGCATTTACCATCGCTGATCTACCTAGTCTGTGCACCCTTGGACACTACAGACAATTTAGCATGGCCAATCCACCTAATCTGCATATTTTTGGATTGTGGGAGGAAACTGGAGCACCTAGAGGAAACCCACACAGAGACGGGAAGAACATCCAAGACTATGTTCAAGACCAAGGATGACTGTACTAATTGCAACAGTTATCAAGGAACCCTTCCACTAAGCATCATGGCTAATATACCTAGCCTGCACATCCCTAAGTAGTGTGGACAATTTACCATTGCTGATCCACTTAAGCTGTTCAACTGTGGGAGGAAACCAGAGCACCCAATGGAAACCCAAGCAAACACAGGGAGAACGTGCAAACTCCACACAGACAGCCACTCGAGGCTGGAATTGAACTTGGGTCCCTGGCACAGTGAGGTAACATTTTACACTCCTATGTAGGCTATAGGCTATGTATTTTGGGAAATAGATATGTGCTTAAAAAAAAGTGACAATTTTCCGTCATAAGGAATTTCATGAGCCTCAAGGAAAGGATCCATTTCCAACCTATTGTCTTACTAATATGCTGGGATTGTTTTTCACCAACCATTGTCCTCCATGATTATGCCAGATGTGGAAATTTTACTTGCCTGCAACTTTTTCCATGTTATAGATTCCTTAGAATGATTGCCATTATCTTACTAATGTTGTACACTGTTAATGGTTGGCTAAATGAAGCTTGTATTGCAGTCAATGAAAGACAAATAGTAAAGGTAGACTCGGAGGAAAGACATAGTTTCCATTGGGGAAATTTTTGGTCCTCAAATTTCAAAATGTTTGTGACGAACCTTGACCTTTGATCAAAATGAAGGTGTGATTGTTATGATGGCTGGGGTTCAGCTTTAGGTATGAGGTGAACTGCAGGAGAGGCCACTGTAAGTGCACTGCAGTTGGGTTTAATGCAGCTACACTCGTGTTTAACACACCAACCAAAAAAACAAACAGCACCTCCAGCACTCCGAAGAGCATCCCACCCAGACTCGCCCCTCCCTTTCTTTTCTCTGTAACCCTACATTTCCCACAGCCGGTCGACCTAACCAACTTATCCCTGGTCACTATGGGCAATTTAGCATGGCTAATGTACCTAACCTGGACATCTTTGGACAGTGGGAGGAAACTGGAGCACCTGGAGGAAACCCACACAGACACGGGGAGAACGTGCAAACTCCACGCAGACAGTCGCCCAGGGCTGAAATTGAACCTGGGTCCCTGGCACTGTGAGGCAGCAGTGCTAACTACTGAGCCACTGTGCCACCTCTTGCAAGCCAGTATCATGGCATTTTTCTGACGATGTGTAGCATTGGGATAGTGAAGTTTAAATATAGTTAGGCATTAAGTGTTTGGTGTGGCCGATACTGACAGAGATGTTTGTCTTTTGAGCCAAAACGTGAGACTTAAAAACAAAATAAAAGCATGGAAAGTGCCTCATGCTTTGGATTGTAATTAGAGATCATTTTACAAACACACTGTTTCCATCAAACAACCACAGAATATTTTCAGTAATTTCCACATTGTATGAAACAAGATTCAACTTTTGTGTCCAGATATTTTTTTAATAATTGCTGGAATACAACTGGTCAAATTGGGATGATGGTACAATGAAAAGTCAAGAGAATCATTAGGAATCAGTTGGTGTCCTGATTACTGAATGAATGAGGAGTGTCTTTACCTCAATCTACTTACAGTATTATGCTTCTAAACTGTTTAGGTTTTGTTCAACCTTTGTTAAATAAGGTCCTCACAGAAAGTTACAGTTCTTAAATGACAATTAGTGTCACCAGGAAAACTGTCAAATCTGAGTTGCTTTTGAAGATTGTAGTTATATCTTTCTTAGACAAAGTATTCCAATTTAAATACAAGTAACAAGTCCTGATTTTGACGCAATATTTTTCAAGTTGAGATGATTTAACAGCAACTGAAACAAAGCTTATGACTGTCTCTTATTTCATTGAAAAGTTGATTGCGTTCCCTCATGCTGTCCAATGTCTGCTTGCTCTTTTGGTAGCATTCCCATCTGAGTCACAGATTTGTGGTTTCAACATTAAGTGCATTGAAGGATTCAAATTCATAATCTGGTTGGAGGACTGAGAATCTGCTGTACTGTGAAAGATGTTTCATTAAGCTAATGCTTATTTCACTCATTCAAAGATCACAAGACGCTGGTCCCCAAGCCAGGATTTCTCTCTCACCCAACAGCTCTAAAATTAACTTTCATCTCAGTGCAGTTAGTGAAATCCTGTCACACACAATTACTTTTGTTTTGTTTGTCTGTATAATTTGTTTTATCTGAGAGCTGAGAGACATTATAATGTTTTCCCTGGATGCTGATTTTTCTGTTGGAAAATAATGTTTCGCTCATCTTTTTGGTGCTTTGCTCCTCGGAATTACATAATTTCTTCACTAACTGCAACTTCTGGGTAATCCTTTCATAAGCGAGTGCAGAAAGTTAGCATACAATTACAACGTTTAAAAGTCATTTGGATAGATAGGAGCAAGTAGGTGGGACTAGTTTAATTTGTGATTATGTTCAGCATGGACTAGTTAGTCCGAAGGTTCTGCTTCCGTGCTGTATGACTCTATGACTCCATGTAGATATAGCAAGCAATTTAGAAGAAAAATGGTATGTTGGCATTTATTGCATGGGAATTGGAATACAGGAATAAGGGACTTGAATCGTGCTGGGCTTTGAGAGCATATCTAATATACTGTTTTGGTCTCTCATATTTAAGAAAGTGTATACTTGCATTGGAGACAGTGAAACAAAGCTTCATTTGATTGTTCCCTTTATGAGAAGTTGTCCTGTGATGAGATGCAGACTAAATTGGCTCTATTTACAAACAAAAACAGAAATTGCTGGGGGTAGTCAGCAGATCTGGCAGTATCTGTGATGAGACGCTGCCAGATCTGTTGACTGCCTCCAGCAATTTCTGATTTTGATTGTTTCAGATCTCTAGCATCCACAGTTCATTTTTTTTACATTAAATTGGTTCTGTATTTGCTGTAGTTCCAAAGATTGACAGGTGATTTAGGTGAAACAAACAAGTCTAGTGAAGGGGCTTAGTAAGGTAGACACTGGGAGAATGTTTCCCCTTGTTGGGAAATCTAAAACATGGATGGAGGGATGGGGCAGAGTCTCATGAGAGACTGATTATTTCAGACTGAGAAGATCAGAAATAACATTGTGAATAATTGAAAATCTCTACTCCAGAGGCTCTGTGCGCTCCATTGTTGGGTATATTTTAAGGCTGGGATAGTCAGATATTTGGTCTCTCCAGGAATCACAGAATCTTGAAAGTGGACAGAAATGTGGAGTTGGAGCCCAAGATCAATCCTGATTGTACTTAGTGGCAGAACAGGCTTGATGGATTCTATGGCCAGCTATTTTTTTGTGTTCTGTCTGTGAATTGCAATAACGCTGGATCTTTCATGTTTCTTTACAGAAACATTTTAGTCTTGAGAGAGATAACAGAGCATCACATCTGAAGAGCAGAATACTGAATGCTGGATTTCTGAAATGCAAAGAAAAGCTGCAAATACTCAGCAAGCCAGGCAGTATCTGTCAAGTGAGAAACAGGTCATCATTTTCCTAACTGGAATAACAACTCCCATCTCACTGCTTAGGCGCTCGTTAATCCAAGGTCATCTTGACATGCAAAGATAATGCAGGCTTCTTTTTTTCTACTCCAGACTGACTTCTTAAATCCTCGTATCTGTCTCGCCTGCCCCCTTTCAACAAAACAGGTGAGGATTTCATCTGACCATCTGTTTTAACTGCCTCTGCCCCTTCTCCCCAAACCTCTTCACCTTATCACCTATCCTTTGTCTGCCTTTAAGGTCCTGCATAAAACTTGTCTCTTTCACCAAGCTTTTGATTACACACCTTATGACCTCCTTACATGACTCTGTCAAAATTGCTTTGATAACACGTCTGTGCAATGCCTTGGGATGTTTATTAAGCTGCTGTTAAATGAAGCAGCAAGTTTTGCCAAGAAAACGTTAACACAAATAAGTTTGTAATGATTAATAAAAAAATTTTGTTTGCTGTAAAAAAACCAAACAACATTTAAAATCTCCTTTGTCGGCTGCCTCACTGTATTAGTTTGCGCTGCATTGTTTGAAGTCAAAGGTTGTTAAATCTCTCCAGCTGCTGAAGATGATCAGAATTTTTATTTTATGTGGTTTGTGAATAATTCAAACTGAAGGGTTCTCGAAGCCACATAACTGGAGTTTCTTGCCTGAAGCTGTAGACTTCTTATTAAATTAGAAAAGTAATTGTGTGTGAGTTTGAAAATAACAGGTGGATTCAATAGAGGGGGTTTGAGTAGAAAATTTCCCTCAAAGCATATTGCAGCGGGATCAATTTCTGTGAAATATGATGTTTAAACAAGATGCAGAGAAACGAAAGCTACTTTGTGAATGTAATCATACTTGTACTTGTCACCATTAATGCTTTTTTATTAAAACAAAGTTTAATTTCCTGTTGGTGTATTTATCACACCCTACAAGCTAGTTCATATCCATGTACATAAAATCATATTGTCAGTCATCTTCTACACAATAATTGTGGAACATTTCTTGAATTAATGCCAAAGTGCAGTGAGATCTAACCACAATAATACTGTAATGGATCTGATTATGGTACATTTATCGCACTAAAAGATTTCAGCAACAATGATAGGTTGTTGGGCTTCATAAGTTCTCTCACATCTGAGTCCAAAAGGTTGTGGGTTTAAATTCCAGTAGATACTCAAACAAAATTGAAATTGACACACCCGGTGCAGGACCGCTTACCTGTTGAAGGAACAGTGGTCCGAAAGCTTGTGATTTCAAATAAACCTGTTGGATTATAAGCTCGTGTCGTGTGACTTTTGACTAAGTGCAGGACCAAGCAGTGCAATCTTGTTAGGGATGGCACTTTCCGAATGGCATGTTAAACCAAGGCCTTATCTATCCTCAGACATAGATGTAAAAGATTCAGTGGAACTATTTCAAAGTGAAGTGCTCTCCCTTGACCAATATTTACTGAAACAGATTATCAGCACATTGTTGTCGGTGGAACCTTGATGTCTGAAAATTGGCTACTGTTCTTCCCACATTTCAACAGTGACTTGACTTCAAAAGTATTTTCTTGGCTCTGAAGCACTTCAGGACATCCTGAGAAGATGACAAACACTAATGTATATAAATGGGAGTTTGTTCTTTCTTATTTTTTTTCCTAATCAGCCAATAATTGCTTCTGTTCTGAACCCAGACCAAAAGACAAAATTTATATTATGATCTGACTAGGGAACAGTAACATAGTTTTTAAAGTTGATAAATTATGGCATCCAGGTATTATTAAAAGAATAAAGTCACAAGATTCTACTGTGTTTGAACAAATAAACTTTACAACAAAAAGTTAGAACAATAATAAAATCTGCAGTATATTTACAACTTCTTTTCTAACATCAGTGCACAGCAAATAGGAGATGCAGTTCAATCAAATCCGACTGATTTCTCAGCAGTAGTTCCCAGATAGTGACATGGTGGGTCATCAGCTCTCATTAGAAGTTCACAAGGGATCACACCTCTTCACTTCTGACCATCCAGCCTTGAAACTCCCTCAAGCTGTTCTCTTATGGACTCCCTGAACAACTAGACCATAGGACCAAAAGAGACAGGAGCAGAATTAGGCATTCGCCATATTGTGTCTGTGTGCCATTCGATCATGCCTCACATGTTTCTCAGCCCCATTCTCCTACCTTCTCCCTGTAACCTTTGATCCCCTGACTAATCTAGAATGTATTACTGTCTTAAATACACTCAATGACTTGGCCTCCACAGCTCTCTGTTACAATGAGTTCCACAGATTCACCATTGTCAGGCTGATGAAATCCTTCCTCATCTCAGTTCTAAAGGATCATCTCTTCACTCTGAGGTTGTGCTATCAAGTCTTAGTCTCTCCTACCAATGGAAACGTTTTCCCCACATCCACTCCATCCAGGCCTCTCAGTATTCTGTAAGTTTCAATGAGATCCTCTACCCTCATCCTTCCAAACTATAATGAGTACAGGCCCAGAGTCCTCAACCGCTCCTCATGTGACAAGCCCTTCATTTCCGAGATCATTCTTGTAATTCTCCTCTAGACTCCTTCTGAGGCCAGCACATCCTTCCTTAGATATGGAGCCCAAAACTGCTGTCAATATTCCAAATGTGATCTGACCAGAACCTTTTACAGCTTCAGCAGTACATCCCTGTTCTTGTATCCTAGCCATCTCAAAATGAATGCTAACATTGTATTTGCTTCTTAACTGCCAACTGCCTATCTTTTTAGCTTTATTTCTTATTTTCCTAATTTATACAATGTATATCTGTAATGTAGTGTAACTTTTTTCTTAATTTTCTCTGTTTTATGTACCTAAGATTTGTACTTAAGATGATGCCATGTGTTGGTGACTTCCACTCCTGTACTCCTGTTCTTTTGTAACTCGAGTACATGTGACAATAAACCTAATTTATTACCAATGAATGTTAACCTTAAGAGAATCCTGAACTGGGACTCCCAAGTCCCTTTGTGCTTCAGCTTTCTGAAGCCTTTCCCCACTTAGAAAATAGCCTACGCCTCTTCTTCCTGCCAAAGTGCATCACCTCAAAATTTCCCACGTTGTATTCTACCTGCAACTTTTTGCATACTCTTTTAGTCTGCCCAAGTCCTTCTGTAGCCTCCTGCTTCATCAAAACTACCCGTCCTTTCACCTAACTTTGTGACATCTGCAATCCACTTGGTTGGCACCATATCCATAAGCAGCTACTCCCTCCACAAGCAACCACTCTCTCCACTGACGCTCAGCAGTAGCAATGTGTACTATCTACAAATACACTGCAGAAATTCACCAACGATCCATAGATAGCACGTTTCAAACCCACAATCAGTTCCACCCGGAAGGTCAAAGGCAGCAGATACATGGGAACACAACCATCTGCAAGTTCCCCTCCAAGTCCCTCACCAGCCTGACTTGGAAATATATTGTCGTTCTTTCACTGTCACTGGATCAAAATCCTGGAATTCCCTTCCTCAGGGCATTGTGGGTCTACCTACAGCATATGGACTGCAGCAGTTCAAGAAAGCAGCTCACTACCACCTTTTCAAGGGCAACTAGGAACAGGCAGTAAATGCTGGCCCAGCCAGCAATGCCCACGTCTCATGAGTGAGTAAAATGAAATTTAGCAAGAATGCCCTCAGTTCTTTCATTCAGATCATTAATGCAGTGTCAATACTGACCTCTGCAGAACTCCACTAGTCCACAGCTGCCATCCTTAAAAAGACCCTTTTATCCCTTGTCCTGTCTTCTGCCAGTCAACCAATCCTCTATCCATGCCAATTCCTTGCCCCTAACTCCATGGACTCTAATCTTATTTAGCAGCCTCCTTTGCAGCACCTTGTCATAGGCCTACTGGAAATCCAAATAGATCACATCCACTGGCTCTTCTTTGCCTAGCTTGCTCATTACCTCCTCAAAGAATTCTATCAGACTTACTAGGCATGGCTTCTCCTTGATGAAGCCATGCTGACTCAGCCCTATTTTCCCATGCATTTCCAAGCACTCCGAAATCTCATCTTTCATAATGGACTGTAAAATCTTAGCAACGATCGAGATCAAGCTAACTGGCCCATAGTTTCCTGTCTTTTGCCTTCCTCCCTTCTTAATCAAGGGTGTTACATTAGACATTTACTAGTCCTCTGGGACCCTCCCTGCCTCCAGTGATTCCTGAAAGATCACTACTAATGCCTTTACAATCTCCTCAGCTATCTCCTTCAGAACCCTGGGATGTCATCCATCCATTCTAGGTGGTTCATTCACTTTCAGGTCTTCCAGCATCCCCAGCACCTTTGCCTTAGCAATAGTCACTATGCTCATCTTTGCCCCCTGACTCTCTGAAGTTCTAGTATGCTGCTGGTGTCTTCCAGCCCTGGTTATGCCCTGGTCGAAGCATAGTTCAGGTGGAACATATTCCCTTCTTCCCCAGTACTGGTGCCAATATCCCAGGAATTTGTATCCATTTCTCCCACACTAATCTTGGAGCCACACATTTACCTCTTTATCCTTGTTGACCCTGTGCCAATTAGGTGGCTCAGGTAGTAATCCAGAGATAATTAACTTTTTGATTATGGTTTTTAGTTTATCCCCTAGCTGCTCATATTCCCTCAGCAGACCCTCTTTCCTCTTTCTACCGAAATCATTTGTACCTACGTGGACCAAATCAATGGGATCTTTCCAAGTTTCTACGCAACCCTGATGAGATATCCTGAACCCAGGCACCAGGCAGGCAATACGACCTTCAGGACTCTTGATTCTGGCAGTAGACAACATTGTCTATTTCCCTGAATATACGATCCCTGAATAGAACTGTTTTTCTCTCTTGAATGGCTCCCAGTCCCATGGTGCTATGGCCAGTTTGCTCATCCTCCCTACAGCCCCCACTCTCATCCACACAGGGAGCAAGAATCTCAAACTTGTTAGACAGGCTCAAGTGCTGAGGCTTCTTCAGCACTGCCTCCTGGATCCTCCTACCTACCTTGTTCATAATCACACCTTACTGTCCCTGACCACTGACCAGATTTGAGGCAGTTAATCTAAGGCGTGTGACTGCCTCCTGAAACACAGCGTCCAGGTAACTTTCCCCCTCCCTGATATGTCGCACTGTTTGAAGCTCAGACTCCAACTCATTGACTTTGAGCCAGAGTTCCTCAAGCAACCAAAACTTGCTAAAGATGTGGTCACTATGAACCACAATAGGCTCCACCAGCTCCCACATCATACAATTACAAAACATCGCCTGGCCCAGCATCTATATTTTAACTGCTTAGTTCTCAATTTGATATATTTTTTAACTTTCCTAGTGGTCTTTTCGTTTGTAACCTGGAAATATTTCTCCTATTTATCTGAAAGTAATCTATAACAGATCATCAAATTAGCAGCTGTTACCAAGCAAAGAATTTATAGTTTTCTTAATTGTCACTCATTTGTGCTGAGCCCCTGATCCTGGGCTCTTCTATCCTGGTAGCGTTTCGAGCCTGATATGACAGCTGCGGAGAAGGGTCTCAAAATGTTAACCCTGTTTCTCTCTCCATAAATGCTGTCAGATCTGCTAAGTTTCTTCAACATTCTCTATGTTTCTTCTTAACCAACTATTATTTGGATGACTTGTTGAGCCACAGCACACAGAACCAGTCAAACATAGTTGCATTTCAACAGTCCAGCTAAACACTGCACTGTTTACTGTGAAACCTACTTCACTCTCTCACACACACCTATGTACACACAGTCCTTCTCTCCAAATGACCTCATTAAGGTCCTTAGGGTGGGGGATTTCAAGACTAGAGAGCATATTTTTAAGGTGAGAGGATAAAGATTCTTAAAAAGTACACAAGAGGCATTTTGTTTTTACAGAGAATAGTTTGTGTGTGGGATGAATTCCAGAAGTGGTGGACGCAG